AGTCAAATTAGATGTGTTGCTACATAAACATACACACATAGCTATTTATGTCTAATTTTTCTACAATGAACATATTTTACTTTCATAATCTAAAAAAATGGAGATGGTTTAATGTGTAGATGGATAAATAAATAAAATAATACGTCTAAAGAAATCATGATGTTACAACCAGATAGACTTACCCACAGCCATACAATGGAAGTAATATGAAGACAGAACCTCTTCACCCTCCTCCCCTTAATAGTCTCACCTATGATGAGTTAGCAGCTGCAAGAGGAAGGAAAAAAAATGGAATACTGGCAGGAATGTCAGAGCTGAGTCCCTCTGATAAGGTTGYCAGATTTAGCAAATAAAAATATTGCATGAGATACTAAAAGAAAATCACATGTTGTTTGTCCAAGCTTCAAATATAACTGGGTGTCTGCATTTTACCTGGCAACTCTACCCTCTGGGTCAGCCACACCCATTCATCACAGGGAGAGCCGAGGGAAGTGGTTTCCGCTGGTAGGCGGACCTCTTGCTCTGCTGAATGAATTTGAGAAGGTCAGAATCTTGCACTCCATCTGGACTCATCATCTCTCACTGCCTCTCAGGGGACTTGTTAGCATTTACACTGGGGAATGGGTTCATGGCTGCCATGTGGTTTCAGACTAACAGAGCCAACATCCTAGAACATTTGTAAACTGGAATGTGTTTGAGCGACTTTGAATCTGACCCTGTTCTTCTATTAGAAACCATTTGGACCAATAGGGGGGAAGTTGCAAACTCCATGTTTAAGCCYGATTTATCCTTTTAGAAGCCATATAGAAAAAAACCTGCAAACTTCATTTGCACCAGAATAGCCAAATCCCAACACATGTATCCAGCAGAATACCACGCAGGCGTTAGCCAAAGAAGCCAGTTCTTTAATTTTTTTTCTATTTTAAGGGAAAAACTTTATTTTAATGAGCAAAACAAGATGGGAAACAGTTTGTGTAACATGCGACCTTTTGCATAAGAAAGAAGGAGAACGTAAAAATATACTTTATTTGCTTGTCTTAATTCACAAGAGCTCAGCAACAGTGGTGACATCTGGTGTAAGGACAGGAATGGTGGAAAGAGGACATAGTGGTTCAGGGCATGGTGGAAATTATATTTTTCACTGTATGCTATTCTACATTGTTTTTATTTTGAGACTGTGAATAYATACTTTCATAAAATTTGAAATTAAAAGCTGAACATTTTTTAAAGGTTAAAAATAAAGTCTACTTCTTTTTTTTTTCTTTTTTTGGTGGTGCTGGGGATTAAACCTAGGGCCCCATGCATGCTAGGCAAGCATACCACTGAGCAGCATTCTCAGCCTTTAGAGTCTATCTTTTAAAATTTGTGAGATAAATGTGACTACATATATAATATATGTGTTGTGTTTATGTGTGTGTATGTACATGGTGCCCAGAATTCTACACGGCATATAATAAGCATTCATTATATATATATTATAGAACTATATTATAGTTCTCTTCTATTTTTTTCTAATACTTTTATTTTATTTATTTATTTATTTTTATGTGGCGCTGAGGATTGAATCCAGTGCCTCCCACCTGCTAGGCATGTRCTCTACCTCTGAGCTATGACTTCAGCCCACAGTTCCCCTCTCTTTTAATGGTTATTTTTTCCTAGTTATAAAATTATGTCTTTTRATTAGTAAAAAACTTGAAAGTTAGAGGGGAAAAAAAACTAAGGAAAAAAATAATCACTCACTATTCCAGCAATCAGAGGTAAATCTTTTAACAGTTTACATATTGCTTATTCATCTTTTATATATTATGGAAACATTGTATATAAGGTGATATATTTATCCTGTATTCACCTTAAAGCAAAGCCATCCCTTACCATCTCTGTTTTTAATATCTGCAGTATACTCCATCATATAAATAGCCTAGGTCACCTGTTATCTGTCCATGTTCCCACTGACCTGTCAACTCCTTGAGGCTAGGGGTTGTGTCTGATTTATCTCCGTGTCCCCTGTGTCTGGCACSTAGAGGGATCTTGATAAATGCTTGTAGAATAAATGCACAAATKAATTATCTGAAAATTATCTAAGTAGTTGCTTTTTGGGCATTTGGGTGATTTCCAGTTGTGTTCGGTCTTTTAAGTCATGTTAGCACAGTCACCGTCTACATAAATCACAAGTCGCTGASCCCATCTTCACTTGTTTTCTTAGGCAAAATTCCTAGGAGTGGAATCACTGGCTCAATGGGTAGGAAAAAAAAACAAAACTCAAGGTTGGTAAAATCACATTGCCAATGTGCCTTCCAAAAAGTTGTCCCAGTCTGTACTCTCAGCAGCTGCGTAGGGGAGGCAGGACATGGATCCTCTCTGGAAGTAGGAACTCTTATGCCTTAAGTTTATGTTATTTGTATAAGAAAATAGGCCAGGCACAGAAGGATGAATAACACCCGATCTCAATCTACATGGCATCTAAAAAAGTCTGTGTCGTACACTGAGTAGAACAGTGGTTACCAGARGCCAGGAAAGTAGGGGGGAGGCAGGGATGGAAAAGGGTGGATCAGGGGGTACCAAGTGACAGGTAGGAAAAGTAAATTCCTGTGTCCTATTGTACAGTAGAATCACTGTAGATGAAAAAAGTGTACTGTATATTTAAAAAAAAAAAAACTAGGAGAAAAAAAAGAAAGATTTTGAATGTTTTGACCCACAAAAAATGATCAGCATTTGAGACGTATATGTTGAATCTGATTTAAACATTAGCTAGTGCATACAGATATCAAAACATCAGATGGGACCACATAAAGATCTATAATATTTGGGTCAGTTAAAAAGATAAGAGTCATCCAATTATATTAATTTGAAATTTTGTAACGTTTTAGTGAAATTGAACAGGTTTTCAAGTTTTATGGAATGTGATTTACTTTTTCCTTTTTTTTATACCTGTTGCTTGCTGATGCACTTTGTCTATCTACTTGTGGCCTTTGTGTTTTTCTTCTCTCTTCCTTTGTTTCTTCTATCACCTCTTTAGATACTGAGGAATCTCTTGCTTGTTTCTCATTTCATAGCTTWCTGTCTCCAGGGAATCTTTTAGGTGTATAAGAAAGATTTATATCATGAACAATTTCCAACATATAGAACAGCAGAAAGAAAGGTRCAAGGGACCTCCAGCTACACCCATCCTCAATCATTCTAAACACTCTGACCATCATGTTTTATCTGTTTCTGGCCCCAAACACTCATACAGATAACCTGGGGTTATTGGTGAAACACTGCAGCCATGCATTTAGGTCAAATGAATGGCCAAGTCCTCACCAAAGTCACCCAAATCTGCAGAAGAGAAGAATCATCTATTTGCATTGGATGAATATGGAAATAWCTAGTCTCCGCACCTGAGTGTTTGCTAACAGATCGCCCACCTCAACCAAACTCATAATTCAGCAGCATTAACACTGTGATTTCTTACTTCAGCCCTATTAAATAGTAGCTCATGTTGAGAAAGGACACAAAGTTTATTCCCCCTCTTCTCTCTTTGCCACCCTGGAAGCAGCAAACCCTGCCCTTCCCCTTGCGGCCCTTCCCCTTGCGGCCCCTTGCAGCAAACCCTGCCCTTCCCCTTGCGGTTTCATGCCTGAAGCAGAACTCCAAGATGGTGGCAGTGTCTTCAGTTCCACTGTTGGAACCATTTATCCAATTTCAAACCTCAGTAGAAATCCGAAGTTGACGGCTCTGAGTGGGCAGGGTGGAGCAGGAGGAGAAAAAGAGGAGGAGGGAGGGAGAGATCATGAGGAAGACATGTCTTGCTAGGCAGCAAAAGTCGTTTTTAAAAAAATAAGTGCTTGCAAAGACATAACTGCAGCCAGGCTGGAAGAGGAGAAGGCCACGCTGGCCCCGTGCTCCGGYCGGCCGTTCCCTGTGCTAATCCCAGTGAGAGCAACAGGAGCCCCAGGAATCTGAGCTGCCTGCCTGACTTCAGCATCTGGCGCTGGAGGCCGGGGCTGAGGATCAGGGGAAGCTCTGTCGTGTGGGTGAAGAAATACCAGCTTGTCAAGGCCCAGGACAGGTATGGCAGGGATCCCAAGCCTCCTCCAGAACAGTCCACGTGCTTTTTATTGATCTGWGCCTGCAAAGTCAAGTTTCCTCCCCTGTGAGCCCTCTAGCATCTCCTGGATGGGTATGATGGAGAGAGACAGAGAGAAGGGAAAAGTTCAGCCTTTTCACACTATCAGGGTCCAGCATGTGTATGTGTGCGTGCGTGTGCGTGTGCGTGTGTGTGTGTGTGTGTGTGTATGTGTGTGTGTGTGTTCATGTGCATCTGCATGCACACGACTGGATGCACTTGACAGTGTGTGTCTGCGTCAGGCTTTGGAAGCTGGAAGTGACAGAGCACCTTGTTCTAAATGAAGCCTGCTATCAAGTGGTAAACAAGGAGGATTCTGGGGGATTAAAATGTCGAGTCTGACCCAAAGCCAGGCCTCTGCTAATGTGCATGGTGGCCAGGAGGTGGCTGGGTGGTGCCTGGAAAGGTTTTAAAAGGCTCGAGGCCGGCACGAGGTGTGTGAAACCAGAGCTGTGCCTTTCTGTGGAAAAAGCCAGAGGAGAACAAGGAGGAGACAGACTCTCTCGCCATGAAACGTGTTTCAAGAAGTATCTTTTGAATTAAAATAGATGCACTCCGAAAATAATCTTGTTTTTGAAACATCAGAAATCTTAGGAAGAGGAAAAGGCTATCAATACACTTACCCTTTGAATCTGTTATGGCCCTTGCTATTTATAATGTATTTTTCCTCCATGTGGCTTAAAATAATCAACAGACATTATCACATTAACTCTTGCAATCCCCCCTGTCCTTCCTCAGATGCCTGCCCTCCAGGGCCACAGAGGACACAGTCCTGGCTCTGGTGGGGATGGCCTCTGCTGCCCTTGCTCCTCTGAGCCCCCTTGGCCTGCCTGGGCCTGGGACAGCCTCCTGGCCATTGTGAGTCAGGACTTTTCTTGTTGCACAAATCCAAAGAGGCAGGGAAGCTGCTGGAGGAGCACACTAGGACATCCACCAAAAAGACCCTAGCACCGTAGGCTGGGTGTCTGCTACAGTGTCCTGACCAACTGGAGTCACTGTGAGGCCCCTGGCAAGGTATTGCAATCAGCAAACATACTTCCGGTGTTCATAGGTCATTTATTTTTTACAACTGGAGCAAATTAGAGTGATCTCAAGAGGAAGCAAAATGGCAGCCCACACAATAGGTATGTATTAACTTTTCAAACTCAGGAGAATACACATAAAAATCAATACCATCATCTTCACTTGTAAAAGCAATGAGCCGGCAACCCAAGGCTAGTACTCCCACCTGTCAGCTCTTGCTGGGAGCTGGTGGCCCTTTCCCGATAGATACTGTGAGGAAGACACGGTCAGCTCCTGATGGGCATTTGAGGTGTGACCTCTGCCAGGCAGGGACAAAGGCTGGTCTCCTGGGCTCTGAAGCCTATGCAATTTGAAGGTCACATTTAAGAAATATATATATTTCTTAAATAGATATAAATATATATAAAAGAGTTACAAAACTGCATCTACAAAGTGCCTTGGTCTGTTTTCTGTTGCTGCGACAGTCTGGGTAATTTAAAAAGGATAGTGCAATTTATAAAGAAATTTGCTTTTTATAGTTCTGGAGCCTGAGAAGTCTAAGATTGAGGCCTCCTCTGGTGAMGCCACGTGCAGCAAAACCTAACGCTGTTTCCTTGCTGATGGTAACTCTGCAGAGCCCAGAAGTGACCAGGACATCATGTGGTGAGTGGGAATATGTAAGAGACAGAGCCAAGTGCCTTATGTAGCAGACCCACTGTGGAGATAACCCATTAACCCATCCAACCACAAATTGATTAATGCCTTCATGAGGCAAGGGGCGTCACGTTTATTTATTTATTTGTTCATTTATGTATTTATGTATGTGTTTGTTTATTTATTTATTGCAGTATTGGGGATTGAACCCAGGGCCTCGCACATGCTAGGCAAGTGCTCCACCACTGAGCTCCATCCCCAGCTCCCTGTTCACTCCCCAAAGGCCCCACTTCCTGATACCTCACAATGGAGGTAAAATTTCAACAGGAGTTCTAGYGAGGCCAGTCAAACCCTAGCACAAAGTTAGGCGCAAAATGAATATTTATTAAGGATGAGTAAAGAAATCATRCAAAATTACAGTTTGATGACAAATACCAACAATGACAATTATTATTTACAAAAGGATACCAAATCCATACGTACCCCAAAGTCCATAAAAATAAAATAATTTGGAAAAATAAGAATTTTTTTTCTATATTTTTGGCTGTATACCCTTTGATTAAGGCTCCATGTGAAAAAGATTTTCTAATATTTTCTCTAGAGAGAATAGATGGAAATTTAATGTTTCCTTTAGATCAGCTGATTAAAACTTTTCTTAATTATTGATAATTTAGATAAGTTTCCTTTAGCTTCACTGCTCATCACTGGCAATGTCATGTGCTTTTTAAGGATTGTCGTCAAGTTTAGGAAAATGGTTATCAAGTTTCTTTCAAGTATTAGCAGTTGTACTTTGGGCTTGAAATACTGCTTGGTCTGTGCCTGTAATGCAGGAATTCTAATTTACTCTACACGACTCCCATCAAAACAGGAAAAAAGGATAGATAGTGCAATTATAACTGCATGCTCTGCCTTATAAATAGTACGTTCCTGTATAAATGAACTTCTGTTTGGAYGAGGCATTGATGAGAACTGAATCCATTGCCTAAAATTTTATATGCCTAATTATCAGAAGATTGTCCCAAAAGAAAAAAGGAACACTCATGCTCTGGTAGGATGACAACTTAGTATGATTTCCACTATGGAAATCAGTATGGAAATTCTTCAAAAGACTAAGAATAGAACCACCACATGACCCAGCTATACCACTCTTGRGTACTTATCCTAAAGAACTAAAATCAGCACACGTAGTGATAAATGCACACCTATGTTTATAGCAGCACAACTCACAATAGCCAAGTTACAGAACCAGCCTAGGGATCCACGAACAAATGAATGGATAAAGAAAAGCGGGTCTACATACACAATGGAGTTTTGTTCAGCCATAAAGAAGAATGAATTGATGTCATTTGCTGCTAAATGGATGGAACTGGAGAACATCGTGCTAAATGAAATAAGCCAGTCTCAGAAAGTCAAGGATCAATGTTTTCTGTCATATGTGGAAACTACAGAAGAAAATGGGAAAAGGGGATATTTCATCAGGAAGAAGGAAGAGGGAATGGAAAGGGGAGGTACTGGGTAATGACATTGCTCACCTTATGAACAAGTATAAATATGCCAATGAACACCACTAAGATGTATCATTAAAATGAACTAATAAAGACATTTTTTAAAAACAATTAAGTTTCAGTCTCTAAAAGAAATTATCCCACAAATACCATAGACTCTGTATATTTCAAGTCTTGTTTTTCTTGCATTATCTACCCACCTCCAGAGCTGGGTGCCCCGGGCATGTTCATGTCAAGACGCTGAGCAAATTTGCAGAGTGGGCAGTGAGGATATTTCTGGAAGTCTTTCCTCGACCAGCATAGTCAGTATTTATTTATCACAGAAATGCATCACACTAAACACAACCCCACTCAAACCTCCTTAGCAGATACCAGAAAAGTCTTTGGCTACGCCAGGGTCTCCTGACACAAAAAGGAGTTTGACAGAGGAGAGAACAGACAGTGACCATGGTCTTAAGCTTGCAGATTACCGCTCACCTTTGCGAATTCCACAAAAAAAACCTAGAACCATGTGGACACATTACTGAGATCCCTCCCAAGGTCTTGAAAATGACCTGGCTGTAAGGGACCCGAAGGCCAAGCCTCATTTGTTTTGCAGTGAATCATTCTGTGCTGGTGGATAATACCGTTCTTGCTCCCTGCCTTTCCTAAAAACAAAATGAGGTTTAAAAACCTGTAGACATGCTGAAATTTCACATYCCCTCTGCCCTTAGGATCTGAGCCAGGCCCCATGAAGTGCCCTTTGCTGCAATACCACTGGCTGTTGTGGGGCCTGTTAATCATGTTAGTGACTTAGTTCCCCACGATAATCTTTTGGAGTCTTGTCTAAATCTTATGAAGGAAATGTATCTCACATGTGGCCATTGCCCACCAACTATGTCCCACCCTTATAGAAACAGAAGAGGACTCCTGGGAGGGAGGGAGGCCCTTCCTTATGTTCCAGGTAGAGGAGAGGAAAATGCTCTGAGGTTTTTGGGACCAGRATTAGACTCCTTCGAAACTATCCTTAGCTCTTTCCCTAGTTCAGAGACTCAGCTTTCTGCCATCCCGTCTCACACCCGTTGAAACACAATGCATGCAGCCTTCAAATGGATCTCACCTCGTACGGTATACTTGGTTATCGCTCCAATAATGTCATATCACCCGCCAGCCCAAAACCTTTGAGAGCTACTATTCATTCTCAAGGACCTATGTGAATTAGAGCTACTCTGCTTCATTCCAGAGCCTAATTTTGTTGCACACATTTGTCCTCCTTTGGACCAGAGGACTGTCCTGGGCATGTTCTGATCAAGGTCATGGCAGGGGTACAGGACAGCGATTGGAACCATGTGAGGTCTCTGAAGACTCAAGGCTTGGAACTAGCCCACTATAGCTATCTATGACTGTGGGTGGCCAAGGCAAATCCTACGGACAGCTTCAAAATCGAAGGTGGGAAGTACACTCCACTCACAAGCAGGCTATGACAAGGGTGTGAATTCTGGGAGGGATTAAAAAACTGGGGCCAATAATTCAATCTATCATACGTCAGGAGGAGCAAAGTTGACAGATGGGCAAGCCCAGTAGGGATGAGGGGATTTGGGAGTGCCACAGTCAACATAGCTTTAGTAGGGCATTTGGCAAGGGCAAATGTGAACAGCTGGGTGGATTTATTGCTGAACCACTGTGCCCAAAGAGCATTGGCTCATAGATCGATGTCCATCTGGAAGGGGTTTGCTGTAGCATGCCACCGGCTTTCACGCTACTTTGCTGCTTTCATCCACATTTTGGATGTAGGTATTGGAATCGTGTTTTATCAAAGTTTTAGATGATGCACAGCTGAGCAGGGTGACTAGTGTTCTTTGAAAGAAATATCAAAACTGATATCAACAGGCTGGATTTATGGATCCAAAACAACAAAAGTGAGCAAACAAACTCACATTTATTGAACAGCTGCTATATACCAATCACAAATTTTGTTGAAACTTTGCAACTTTGAAGTAGATAATGTTATGCTCTTTTTTCTTAATTGAAAATAATAACATAGAAAAAAACAAACTATGTCCCAATCAAGCAAAATAAAGAAAATAAAATTAGAATAGAAATTAATAAAAGAGGATAGAAAAACYATAGAGAAAATCAGCAAAACCAAAGTTGATTCTTTAAAAAAGATCAATAAAATTGATAAACATTTAACTGGACTGATCAAGGATAAAAGAGAGAGGACTAAAATTATTAAATCAGGAATTATAGATAAGGCATCACTACTAACTTTGCAGAAGTAAAAAGAATTATAAGGAAATAGTATAAACAACTATATCTCAACAAAGTAGATAAGGCAGGCAAAATGKACAATTTCCTAGAAAGACACACATGACCAACATTGACTAAAGAGGTAAAATATTTGAATAAAAATCTATAACAAGTAAAGAGATTGGGTTAGAGCCAGCAGGACATGGTAAGGCCTGTTATCCCAGTAACTCAGGAAGCTGAGACAGCTGAGACCTCACAATTTTGAGGTCAGCCTCAGCAATTTAGCAAGATCCCACATCAGAATAAAAGGTAATCAGGGCTGGGGAGGTAGCTAAGTGGTAAAGTGCCTCTGGGTTCAATTTCCAGGACCAAAAAGAAGGAGGGGAGAGAGAGAGGGGGTGAGAAGAAATYAAATCAGTAATTTAAAAATTTTTATAGAGAAGTCCAACCTCAAAAGGATTTATTGGCAAATTTTATAGAGATATGAAAAATTGTGAGATATGTATGTGTAATAAGAATTGTAATGCATTCTGCTGTTATTTATTTATTTTAAGTCAATTTTTTAAAAATTCAAAGAAGAACTAATACAAAATCCTTGACAACTTTTTACAAAAATTAGAAGAGGAGGAAATCTTTCCAACTTACTGTAAAACCTCATGAGAGAAAAAAAATTCTACAGAACAATATTCTTTATCAAAATAGATGCAAGAAAATATTAGCTAGCAAAATCTAGCAAGGAAAGAATGATATACTATGCACAAGTGAGATTTGTCCTGAAAATGCAAGATTAGTTTAACATCCCCAAACCAATTAATATAATAAACCATATTAATAAAATCAAGGACAGAAACCATAAGATTATTTCAATAAGTGCAGAAAAGGCATTTGACAAAAATCAAGACCAATTCATGATGAAACCGTGCTCAACAAGAGAAAGGGACTTTATCTGACAGAGGGAATCCATGAAAAACCTACAATTAGTATCACGCTAAATAGTGAAAGACTGAATTTTTTCCCAAAGATCAGAAACAGGGTAAGGATATCTGTTCTTATCACTTCTGTTTAAAATATGTTGAAGGCTTTGGTGAGAAAATTAGGTAAGAGAAATAAATAAAGGGCATCAAGATTGGAAGAAAATAACAATCTATTTGCAGATGATATGGTCTTGWATGGAGAACTCCTAAGAAGCCCACTAAGACACTATTAGAAGTAATAAGAATTGTAATGCAAAAAAAAATCAGTAAGAGAGTTCATGTACAATGGCATAATTTGCTGTGAACTTTATATACAGAGTTATGAAAAATTGTGCTGTGAGTGGATAATTATGAATGTAATACATTACACTATTGTCATGTATGAAATAAATAAATAAGAAAAAAAAGAAGTAATAAGCAATTTTGGCAGTGTGGCTGGATACAAGATTAACACACAAAAGTCAACTGAAGTTTTATGCTTCAATGAACTTTCTAAAATTTGAATTAAGAAAACAATTCTAGTTATAGTAACATCAAAAATAACAAACACTTCAGTGTACATTTAACAAAAGAAATGCAACACTTGAATGACTTGCATGCTGAAAACTATAAATTATTGTTGAAAAAATAAGTAAGAACTAAATAAATGGAAAGACATACCAAGTTTATCATTTGGAAGACTTAATATTTTTATAATGTTTACCAAAGTAGCCTACAGGTTAATGGAATACTTATCAAATTCAATTGCTCTTTCTTTTTTTTTCTTTCTTTCATTTATTTATTTTATTTTTGCAGAATTTGAAGAGCCAATTCTAAAATGCAAGCAAAAATTTCAGAGACCTAGAATCGCCAAACAATATTGAATGAGAAGAACAACTGGAAGACTCACATTTCCTGATTCCAAATAACTACAATGCTACAGTAATCAATACTATGTGGTACTAGCATAAGAACAGATACATAGATCCATTAAATAGAATCAAAGGTCCATAAATAAACTCTTACATTTATGATCAATCAATTTTTGACAAAGGTATCATCCATTAACAGAGAAAAAATGGCCTCTTTAACACATAGTGCTGGCAATATTGGAGTTCCACCTATAAAAAAATGCAGATGGACCCCTACTCCACATCATATCCAAAATAACTCAATGGATCAACAATACAAATAAAAGAACGGAAACCACAACATTCTTAAAAGAAAGTATGGTAGCAAATTTTCATTCCTGAATATTTGGCAATAGATTCTTAAATATAATATCCAAAGCCTGAGCAATGAATTTCAAACTTTTGTGCTCCAAAGCACAAAAGAAAGCATCATCCAGAGAGTGAAAAGTACAACCTACATAATGGGAGAAAAACACATTTGCAAATCATATATCTGTTATGGGATTTTAATCTACAACACAAAAAGACTTCTTATAACAAATAGTAAGAAGACACTAATTTTAAAATGGGCAAGATTTGAATAGGCATTTCTCCAAGGAAGATGTACAGTGTCTGACAGACATATTAAAAGATGTCAATATCATTAATTACTAGGGAAATGCAAATCAAAACCACATGAGATCACACTTAATGTCCACAAATAAGATATTTTTAAAATGGTGTTTGTGAAGAATTGAAGAAATTGGAACCCTCGTAAGTTGTTGGTGGGAATGTAAAATTGTGCAGCCACTTTGGAAAACAGTTTGGTAATTCCTCTTAAGAGTAATGGTGGTCACTATATGACCCAGAAATTCTACCTGTAGGTATGTACCCAAGAAAATTGGAAACATACATCCATACAAAGACTTAGACATAAAAATGTTCATAAAAAAATTGCTCATAATACCTAAAAAAAGTGGGAATAACTCAAACGTGCATCAGCTGATGAATGGATGAACTAAAGGTGGTACATCTACTCAATGAAATATTATTTGGCAATAAAAAAGAAAATAAAGTACTGATACCTGCTACAACATTCTGAACCTTGAAACCATTTTGCTAAATGGAACAAGTCAAGCATAAATAATGAGACAATATAAGACTCCATTTCTATGAAATGTCCAGAATGGCCATATACATGGAGACAGAAAAATAGATTAGTGATTGCTTAAGGCTAGGATAGGGGTAAAAGAGGAATAAGGATTGACATGAATAGTAAAGAATCTGTAAGGAGGACAAAAATTGTCTAAAATTAGAGGGTGGTAAGTTTGCAAATCTGTGGATATATATGATAAGAAACCTATAATTGTTTGCTTAAATTGGTAAATAGATGGCATACGACTTATATCTCAATAAGGCCCTATTTTAAAAAACTGACTATCCAGGTGAAAAAAGGAGCTATATCCTTGGGAAGTGCTTCCCTGTAGTTTAACATGCACATGTCACCTGGACATGGTGTTAAAATCCAGATACTGTTTGCTTCTGGTTCTGGCACCACCCCTTGAAAAGCAAGATCCCAAGGTAGTTTGACATCTTTCTTGGGGTTGCCCAGCTGGTGAAAGGGGAAAAGTCTAGATTCAAGACCACTGGACTGCAGGGTTTCTAGTCAGTGGTTAACTGAAGGATACCTCAGGCTTGACTTCTCACAACTGTTGTGAAAAATAGTCCAGGGTTTTATATAATCATAACCTCAGTGGGTCAACAGTTCATCACAATCTCTAAAACTATGACTGCATTCTTAAACTGAATTGATAGTGTCCATCCTAGTAGAGAAAGCGTAGCCTTGTGTACCTCAGTTCAATCAGGCCACGTTGGGAATCCAAAGCCCTRATGTGGGAGCCACATTGAGAAGAATACTGGAAGGCCATAATTAGCCCACAACAAGGGAATCTTCATGGTGAGGGGAATAGATACCTTATCCTAAGGAGAACGGATAAATGATGGGGAAGCTTTATACTCACAAAGCAAAGATTCATGCTGGGTGTGGTGGTGCACACCTGTACTCCCAGCCCCTTCAGATGCTGAGACAGGAGATACTTGAACCCTGGAGTGTGGAGCCAACCTGGGCAATCTAGTGAGACCCTGTCTAAACAAATAAATAAATAAATAAAGATTCCAACATGCTAGAACAGCTTTAAAGAAGGGCTATCCTGTGAAAGAAAAACTAAATGTTTCCTATTGTGACCCAGAAAACAGAACAAATATTAAGAAAGGAAGGTTGCCGGGCACGGTGGCGCACRCCTATAACCCCAGCATCTCCAGAAGCTGAGTCAGGAGGATCACAAGTTCAAAGCCAGCCTCAGCAAAAGCAAGGTGCTAAGAACTCAGTGAGACCCTGCCTCTAAATAAAAATACAAATAGGGCTGGGGATGTGGCTCAGGAGTTGAGTGCCCCTGGGTTCCATCCCTRGTACCTGCTCCACCTCCTCCAGTCAAAAAAAAGAAGGGAAGGTTGTAGGGAACTCACTCTGACAAATGAAAAAAATAATAAAAATCTAATCATTAAAAGCTTCCCATCTCACTTCAAGATGCAGAAACCACACATTATTGGCTTAAGCCAAATGGGAAGTTACTTGTTCACAGGGCATGAAAGTCTAGAGATAGATAGGTTTCAGGCACTCCATCCTTCCATGCTCTTTTCTGCATGTTGACGTCATCCTCGGGACGTCTCCTTCAGTAGTGACAAGACAGTCGCTAACAGCACCCGGCTTAGATCTATCTTCTCACTTGAGTAACCAGGAAAATGAATGGGCCCCCTTCCCAAGGGTTCCACGGACATTCTCAGGGCTGTTGCTGTACAGCCTAGATCACACACCCATTCTGAAGCCAGTCCTTGGGGCCACCGTGGGAAACAGGATGATTTACCAGACCTTCCACTAACACTGGAGATGGGGCCAGCCCCTGCCCAAACCATAAGGACTGAGACTGGAGAAGGGTTGGTTCTTAAAAAAATGTTTTTGAAATAATTGCCTGGGTGCYCTTTCCTGAAGAGAAGTCCGTCAGTAGCCAACAGATTTCCTGAACAACTATCTAAATTCAAGAGGCTCCTTTGGGAGAGGAAGGGGCTCCCCCACCACAGGAGACAGCCAAGCAGAGGCGGAAGGACTTCCATCACCTTTGCATAGTCAGGAGCAGCGGATGGGGGTCATGGCAGTAATTGCTCTCAAGCACTTGCTTCTGCCTCAAGATCCCTTTCATCATAAAGAAGTTTCCTGATTCACATTTCAGAGGATTTTTCAGGCCCTAATTGGAAACAGACTTATTTCCTTTTGCATTCCCTTTTAAGTCAGCCATACAGCCTAGATGGCCGCTCTCTCTGTGTCACTGGCCACAACCTTATGTCTTTACTCTCCTTAAATACACTCTCTCCCAGGGGATATTGAAGTGAGGCCCCCAGCCCAACATCACCTTCTCTTGCATTATCATTTCTTCTACATGGATCTTCAGCAAGCCATTTCTTATTTGAGGCAAAGTATTTGTTTTACCAGAAAATAAGATCCCACATGGCAACTGTATAAAGGTAACRTGTGTGTACGGTGTGTGTGCGTGACCGTATGTACACACATGTACATGCATCTGTGTGTGTGTACACGTGTGCACATTGCATGGGTGAAGGAGCAGRGTGCCACTGAGAGGATGTGACAGTGCTTGGGATTGGGGGACAGGAATCTCTGCCAGATGCTGGAACTCAAGTGAACTCCTGCAGTCAGGATGGCCCTGGGACCCCAGCAGTAGCTCACACAGCCTCAGCGGCCACAGACTTGACTCTTCCCTCTCACGGCTGACTGGCCTGCCTTTTCCTTGTTCTGGAAGAGAACTATCTCTGGATCCGTGTTTCTGTTTTGCTCCAGACAATAGGCCAGCTCTAATCTAAATCTCTACCCCTTTTCCAAATATCCATGGCCAGAAGAGGAGGGGTGAAGCCAGACACAGATTTGTGCAGGCTGTCTTTCAGTGAGTCTGTGGCCAGCACTGCTGAAGTGGGGTGCCCACCTAGCCAGCACCCTGGCTGTGTCAAGTGCATCCCTCCCCTAGCATCCAAGTGTTGCAGAGAAGATTAGTAACCAACCAACAGAAAAGGAATAAACAGATCAGGCCATCAGAGCAGCAAGGAATTCTCATCTTTCAAATGACAGATGCAGAGGAGGAAGGGGAGACCCTTGTGCAGGACCTAGTAGACAGTGCTAGGAAATGGGTTCAGATTAAGGAGAAGAATCCTTAAGAAATCCACCAAAGCACAGATGTCCTCTGCACTGGTAGCCTATGGGAGGGTGCATTCAAGTCAGTGTGTCCACATTGTCCCTAGGGAAAGGCTGGATGTGCTACAGATCATACAGATTAGGAAACTAAAGCTATGCATGATAGGACAGGCAGGTGTCCCCCCCTCCCTGCCCTGCTCAGAAATTAACACCCTCTTCTCTAAGACTTTTAAGTGATTCACTGGGGAGGGGGCCCTACCTAAAGAATCAGGAAGAGCCAGACCACAGAATGATCCAGTTCTCTGTTTCTTGCTGAAAAATAAGACTGAAAACATCKGACAACATGAGCATCCGAGGGCTCACCAACCCTAACCTAGAGGCACCATTTTCGTGAAAATATACAACCAGAGGGCTGGAGGGAAATGCTAAGGGACACCGTGTTTCCAGGCACTGCRAGAGAATTGGACACAGCAATTAATGGAATCTTATAAAACAAATTCAAATTGATCAGTCAGTAAATTAGAGTATTGCCACCCAGACTGAAACCGATTTAAAGGAACATAAATTGAGTCAATAACAAATGTGGAAGGAGACAGGAGTCGGGGGAGAGAATCTGGCGTAGCATTATTGGAGTTTATGTTATTTATTATAGGGGATTAATAGTAATAAAAAAAGGCTCCCGTGACAAAGCCTTTGAAAGAAACTACAATGTAAAACTTAGATCTATAAGAAAGATCTGGCTTTAGGGGCTTAATTGAAAATATTAAATAGAAGGCAGCAATTTAATTAAATATAAAGATGATGATAAATTGGTGAGTTGTGTCTCGTCATGGGAAGAGAG